TGCCAAACTCTACACATGTACAGATTTGTACTTCCGTGTCATGTCTCCAACTACCCCGGCATTTTGTTCAGGTGTCCAGACTTCAAGACTCAATGGACTCCGAATGCTCGCGGGAAGATGAGGGCGATATTGGCGACCAAGCAGCAACAAGCAAGTTGGAAAGCCGGACAGGGGGCAAAGCAATGGAGCAGAGGGACGGGTCCACCAGCGCACCTGTGAAAGGACAGCAGCTCATAAACAACTCAAGACATTCCAGGCGCTCGATTTAAGGCCCCGGCATTGCCGTTTGCAGGCTTCTCCTGCCAGTAGTCAGTGTGGGAATAGTCACAGGGGCCAGAACGATTGAATTCAGCAATGGTCCTTGGCTTTCTGTTTGTCCTGGTGCACTTGCAACGAAGGAGGGCACATCGAAGACACATCCTTACGCTGGTCTCCTGGGACAGGATTTCCTTCAGCACCGGCTCCAGGGCGGCCTCCAACTCGGCTTCGTCCGCTTGCCTCAGCGTGCCGACACACTTTTCTTTTGTCTCGAGGTCTGATACAGAGGCCATCACTCCATCACTGCCTCGCAAGAAGCCGCATTCTGCTCGGATTCAGTGTGCGGACGCGTGCGGTGGTTCTGTGCCTCTACGCTCCCATCTTCGAGAGTCCTGAACTGCAAGCAGAGGCAAGCAGACTTCAGACTTCGTCTTCAGGAAGGGTGACCAAAGCTCTTACCTCTCTTTTGGTTGTCTAGGCTGCGGACCATGGCTTCAAGGCACCTCTGGCCACCTGTACCACTCGATATCTGCGAATGGTCGAGATCTATGCTGCTGGGTGAGGCCTCTGGGTCGGCAGCCTCTGAGAGTGGTGTCGGAGGGGCTGGAGGGGTGCCAGGCTCGTCCGTCGAACACCTGGAGGCAAGGACCCATTTACGATACGAGAGGGGGGAGCGCCAGAGTGAGCCTGGTTCCAAGACTGTCTGGCCGTGATGTGCAGGAGCTCTTTTCTTCGAGCACCTGAGCACCTGATACAAGTTGCCAGTGAGCACATCGCCTTGCACAATCGGTGATTGTCGCTTTGAGTGGTCACCGTCCTTCAACATCCACATCTTTGTGGAAATCTTCTGTTTTGAATGTGGGTGTCATCTTTTCTTCGGAAGCAGCAAGCGGCGGCTCGTGATGTTTGTGCGCTGCTTCGATCTCAAGTAACACATCTCAAGCATCCTTTGGCAACTGCTACGTACTACGGTGCCACTGTTAACCACGCAATAGTCAACAAGCTCGGGATTTGGCTTCAAGGTCCACCCATCCCCACACGCCGAGGCACCCTCTCATGGAATAACACCCGAACCGATCCCATTCGGCGAAAAGAACAGAAGCCGCGACAGAAGCGTCAAGTGAAAGCCGGGTGCAAACAAACATCAGAAAGCAGAACCCAGAAGCCAACACAAGAACAAAAGGGATAATGCCCAAATGCTCAGAATGCTGGCAACGCAGCAAGCCAAGACTCCAACACGAACAGAGCACGAAACCAAGTACACAGTCTCACTCCCCAGAAAGAGACGCAAGCGCACGGAAGCACCGTGCATGCCTACCGCAGGGCCTGTGCATCGGCCAGCAAGATCGATGATCGCCTAGGAAAGCTGCCCTGCTGCTGAGTTGGCCACGTCAGGTTTGGGAGTGCTCGGAGCGCGGCAGGCTGTGCGTGCGCGAAAGCGCGGAGCATCTCTCCTGGCAAACTGCGCTCAAACTTATCTTTCGTTCTCAGGCGACAGGGCTCCTGGAAAGGCGATCGGTGGGGACGGTGGGGACGGGAGTCCAGGTGGTGGATAGAAGCCCAAGCTCCTTTCCGAAGAAAAACCAAACAATGACACTGCAATGCCACTGCAAAGCTCGTACACCCTTTTGAGCTCAGGCCCCGGCTCCGACATGAAACCTGACGTTTGCTGGCAGAGTCAGCAAGCAACTAGTCGTTGTATCCATCACTCCAATCAAAGGAGCTGTGACGCGACAGGCCCGGCGGGATGGGAATGAACATGGGTCCTTTGGTGCTCGCCATGCCTCGCGACAGACAGTGAACGGTACATTGCACATTTGCAAATAGCTCGGTGCTGAGGCGGCCTCCGGCTACCCTAAGCTAAAGCCAAACGACTGACAGGGAGATTGCGAGCTTTTGGCCGTTAATTAAGCTCGAGCCGAAATTTGCCGCACTTGGTTGCTACGGCATGGATGCACTCCGGCCTATGCTTGCGATCTTCCAATCCTGTCTTTGGTGACTTCAAGTGGTAGTAAAGGTGTGCTCCAACCGTGATGTCAAGCGAAATCCCCTCGTACACCAGGCCAGGGACGACACACCAAGGCTCCAACTTTGGCCCTTGGTGTTTGGGGGCCTGGGCCTGGTCTTGTATGCTTCAACCTGCACAAGGTGTCTTTCCTGCTGGGTCATGGCAGTTGCAGTTCCGCCAAGGTCTTATGAACTCAGCGGCATGAAACACGAGAAGGCCTAGAACAGCTTGCCGCATCGCGCAGACTGTTCATGCCAGGCACTAGCTTCGCTACTGGCGAGCGAGATCCTTTCGGTCTCGTTCCAAATTCGGCTGGAACAGTTGCACGCTGTTGCTACTCATGTTGTTGCTACCCATGTTGACTAGTCCGCCTGTTGGGGCTCGTGTAAACAAAAGCGCTGATCGTTTCGTGTGCATCTGGCTTTCCTCAGTTCAAGCTCTTGCTCAAAGCCTCACCTGACCTGGCCAGTCACTTCGCCAGAGGGATGTCCGAGCTTTCCGCCCTATTCTAGCCAGGGCACTGTATCTCCAGCCGGTGACTGCACACACCCGAAAACTGACCTGGCTCCACACTTCCGCAGCTGTGCTTTCTTTGTCATGGCAATTCCTTCCACTGAATTGCATCTCGTGCCTCCTCCACAAAGTTCATCTGACTAAACCTCGTTGGCCGTTCTGCATCATGCGACGATTTTCATCTATGAGCTGTACACCGACAGTCCGAATGTGCATGCTCGGCCCGTGACTCGTCGATGCATTCAGCATCTTGGCAGCGAACGCAGTGGAAGCTGAACCTGAGCATGTAGAACGGACAAGAATTGGACAGAGTCTGGATGCAAAGGGCTGCCAGAGCATGCAGCATGCACTGCAGGCCTCTTGACACATCCCGGACTTGATCAATATGACTCTTGCTACCAAGCCACTCTGGGAACAAAGTCCTCGATGACAGCTCTTGCAGTTCACAGGTTCAAAGGGTCTGAAGCAGTTCAACACAGCAGTGATCAAGCGCCTCAGGCCCCCACTGATTGAATACCTGTCGGTGCCAGCACCAGGGAGTCAAGTCGTAGAGGGTCCTGAAGAAGCAGGACAGCTGGCCCGGTCAAGAAATCCGAAGAGAAAATCATGGATGGATACTATGCACATTGTCTTTTAGACATGCATATGCATGTTTCGAACGCGCGGTACCCACCCCGCATGTTGCAGTTTGAGAGTGTGTCCCTGCTGCTCCCTCGGAAGCACGGAGAGGTCCCTAAAAACCTGACGGTTCTCCAGCCCTTTTCAGACAAGAACCGTTCGACGAATTTGTTTGTGATCGCAAGGTCTTTGCGGTTGACACCCATGAACAGTTGTCGGGAGGTTCCTAACACACCAATGGGTGGAAACCCAAAACAGCGAGAGACAGTTGAAACAAGTGGAAGAAAGTATCCTCCGAGTGCATTGGGAGGGAGGGAGGGAGGGGAGGGGA